GGGGGGAGGGAGAGAGGGAGGAGGGGGAGGGAGAGAGGGAGGAAGAGAAATGAGGGGGGAGAGAGAGAGAGAAAGAGGGAGAGAGAGAGAAAGAGAGGGAGAGAAAGAATGTGCTAAAATGTTAGCACTGACCCATTACGGATGGATGGCAGGATTTTGGGTGGCGGTTTTTCTTACTAGATTTTTTTTTTTTATCTTTTCCAAATTATTCCCAATGAATCTGTATTTTTATTAGTACAGTTTTTTTCCTGATTATGAAATTCCCTCGTATCCATTCCACCTCTTGTTCTTCCACAGCCACCAACCAGTTTTCCTCTTCCTAATCTATCTGGTATGCTTCTGCCAATTTGATTGTTAAGCACCACCTTGTCCAAATCACCCCCCTGAGAACCCTCAGAGCACTCTGTTCTCTTGACTTTGTTCAACAACCTCTGAAACCTGGCCCAATGCAACCTGGTCTACTCCTCACCAACCTCATTTTTCACCCTTCTCCAGTAATGCTGGTCTCCTTATCATGCCTGTCACCTGCCTCTTTTCATACAGGCCCCTTCCTTCCCCTGCTTGTCCCTAGCCTTCAAGTTGGCTCAAGCCCCCATCTGCTCCAGTGAGGCCTGTCAGAACTGACCGTAATGGTTGCAGCCACCCTCATTTGCCTGGTACCCACCAAGTGCCAGGTTTTGGCCATGCACTTATGTGGATCATTACAGTCACCATCATAACAGCCCTTAGAGGAAGGTTCTATTGGTCCCATTTTACAGTGGGCAAAACTGAGGCACTGGATGTCAAGAGCCCACAGCAACACAGCAACAGTTGAACCAGGTCTGCCAACTGCCTGTGCCAACCTCGAATGACGTACTTTCTACTTCTTCAACATACACAGTTTACATCCCATAGCTCAGCCAGAAATCAGGAGACTCCATACCATCTACATCCTGCTGATAGGCCTTTTTCCTCTACACCTCCCACCCCACCCCTCAAAAGGCAATCAGCTGCTGGCTGACAATGATGAGAAGTTTATCAAAGGGGGTGTTTGTTTTCACTGTCTAAAGGCAGATTTTATGAAATGGTTGCTTTCTTAAGTACAGAATGTGCCTGGAATCTGATACATAAATCCACTTTTTACTGCATGGAAAAAAAAATGCTGTCTTCAAACAACAAAAAAAGACTTTTTGAATCATTACTCCCTATAATGGACTGAATCTTTGTGTCTCCCCGGACTCATAGATTGAAATCCTAATCCCCACGGTGATGGTAGTAAGAGGTTAAGAGGTGGGCCTTTGGGAAGTAATTAGGTCATGAAGCTGGAGCCCTCTTAAATGGGATCAGTGTCCTGATAAGAGGCAGAGTCCGAGCTGGCTCTCTTTCCACCATGGCAGGATAGAGTAAGAAGGCAGCACACACTAGAAACTGACTCAGGCATCCTGACCTCAGACTTTCAGCCTCCAGAACTGTGAGAAATAAATGTTTGTAGCTTGTAAGCCACTTGACCTATGGGACTTTGATATAGCAGCCAAACGGACTAAGATGCTTCCTGGTCTTATTTTTTTAATTTCAATTATGACTTGAAACTTTTGTACATCAGATATTCACAGTAAAGGCATTCTTCCTTTCCCTCGCCAACCTGCCTATCATGTATATATATTCCAACTGCTGCAACCAAACTTTACCAGCCTTTACTTTGGAGGCTTCACCTCTTAAAGACACACATGATGTACTCCCCAGCTGATTTGCGCCCAGCACTGTCAGGAGCTTTTAGCCATCGAATTTTAACACACATCTTTAATACAACCTTCCTTACTGACATTGATTCTCCTGCATTTTAAAAATGATTAATTTTTCTTCTTAACAAGACACTACACATCCCTTATTTAACTGCCCCAAGAATCAGAGTTTATTATTATTCAGGTGACCTGATTTTTTAATCACTTATTCTACTGCAGTAATGATTTCCTAGAGCTTTAGTCCCAGGAAAACTCTATTCCCAGCTTCTGCCATCCTTTGAGATTACTGAAGCTTAAAATAAAAAGAACAATGCCTTATGACACGTACCTTTTGTTTTTAATCTGACTCTGCCTTTCATTAAAATAAGAAAAAATAAGTGTTCTTATTTTCCCCATGTCTGCTTGCATGTTTCCGTCATTCAGCAGATTAGATAGGGCAGCTCTCTTTCGACACTCAAGTTCGTAAGAGGTTTTCCCCCAAGGTGGGGACAGCATGTAGTTGCTGAAACTATGCCAAGGATCCCAGAGAAAGGGCAGCAAATTTTCAACCCATCTTCCTTTTATACCAGCTTGATTAAAATCAATGTACTTGATAGTAAGAAAATTGACCTGAAAGGTAAGATGTTCAGTTTTTCTCCTCCAACTTTGGAATTGGAAAAAGAAAAAATATAAATAGCATATACTTGCTGAAAAGTTAGAAAACAGACGGGCAAAGAAAAATAAGATGGCCCCAAATCTCACCCTCCAGTGATATTCTGTCCTATCTCCTTCCCAACTCTCTCGTGCAGAGATAAACGGTGTTTGCAAGTTCTATGTGGGGGACATTATACACAAAGGTCTTGTTTGATCCTTGCAACAGACTGGAAATAGGAATTATTGTTACTGCTCCCGTTTGACAGATGAGGAAAGAAGGCTCAGAATGGTTAGCAACAAGTTGCTGGCCTCTACTTTATCACAACAGCTGTAACAGAGCTGAGTTGCACCCTCAGGCACGGTGACTCAGGCTCACACCTGAACACTAGGCCACATTGCCATTGACGACACACACAGCCATGTGTGTAACCACACTTTTACACTCAGCAATAGGTTGTGAACACCGTTATGTTAGTACATACAGATCTTCATGGGTCTCCATTGTTTTAAATGGCATCATTAACATTCCACTCAATGCACATACCACAATTTAACCAATCCCGTCTGATGCTTGCCTCCAATTTTGGACTACTAAGAACAAACCTGTGCATGTGTGTATGTTTATATTTATGCATTCATCTAATTATTTCTGCAGGATAAATTCTTAAAAGTGGGATTGTTTAGTCAAAATCATGTCCTTTCTTTTTCTGGAAGGCTTTCACCATGTGTTGGCCCCACCGAGGAAAAGGCAGGTATCTTTAACACATTAACTGCCATGCTAGGGAACAAAAAGATTTTTTTTCCTTGGGGTCATAGTGTTTTATTAAGTCAAAAGACATGTGAGTTACATATGCTTCATGAAACCCTGGGCTCAAAACTTGCATAAGAAGTTCCCTTCTCAATCTCAAGGAAGAAAAAAATAATATCTCTGCTATGATTCTGATGTTACTTTAACTCCTCACAATACTAAAATTAGACTCCCCAAAATAATCTTATAAGTGTAATTATCTAAGTTTTATTTTTCTTTCAGAAAATGGGGAAAATATTAACTGTTGTACTAATGTTATTGGATTATTACCAAAAAGAGGGCAAAGGAAGGTACCTGAAGGGGCTTATAAAGCTATTGGCCCTGAAGTCAGAGTCTGTGGGTTTGTGTCCAGAAACCACTACTTTCTAGCTGGGTGACCTTACACAGGTATGTGGCCTCTTTGAATGATTACAGCCCCTCTCCCAGAGTTGTTAAACAAGACTATTGGCTGGGTGAGGTGCTCACACCTGTAATCCCAGCACTCAGGGAGGCTGAGGAGGGTGGATAGCCTAAGCTCAAGAGTTTGAGACCAGCCTGAGCAAGAGTGAGACCTTGTCTCTACCAAAAACAGAAAAATTAACCAGGCATTGTACCAGGCACCTGTAGTCTCAGCAGCTTAGAAGGCTGAGACAAGAGGATCATTTGAACCCAAGAGCTTGAGGTTGCTATGAGATATGATGATGCCATAGCACTCTACCCAGAGAAAGTCTCTGTCTCAAAAAAATAAAAAAAACCCAAATAAAAATCCCCCCCCCCCCAATGAGACTATGTAGGAAAAGCACTTAGCACAGAGACAGCCATGAGGTGAGCACCCTGTGAAGGCTGCGGAGTGTTGATGCTGCAGTTGTTAGGAGAGGGCCCTGTTAACATTTGGGGGCACAGAATGCAGGGGCTGCCACAACTTGGAGACAGGGAGGGAAGGGGAGAGTCACACTGAAGCCACCTGCAGGTACCTCGGGGGCGTGGTAGGAGATGCACTGGAAGATCCAGTCCATGGCCGGCGAGTACAAGGGCAGGTAGGATGGGAGATCCACTCCCTGGACCACCAGCTGGTTCTGGACGGTGTCCCCATGAATCTACAGGAGACCAAATAAACACTTAGGAAAAGGAAGAGAAAAATCAAACAATAAACAAAGAGGATGCAACTCAAAGACTATGCACATTTCTAAGCATTTGGATGTCCCCAAGAGAAACAGCCTGGTTTCTCAAGTTGGTTTTCTTTTTTTAAACTAGAAAAAACATACAAAAAGTTTCTCATGTCACCAAACTGAGCTGTTCTGGGAATATGCACTGTGGAAAGAAGTAACCTGATAAAAATGGAGCCAGCAGATGCTGAGAAGAAAGGCTGATCAACTGGAGACGTTTCCTGTTAACACATGCATATTAACTCTCTTCACTTGTTCAGTACAATCAACACATTTTAATTGTCTACAACAGACACTAGTGTAATTTTCTGGGGGCTGCAGCATATTTGAAGAGCTTTAAGGCATTCTCAACTTGGAAAACCAAAGGCGTTTGTGAATTCGCTGTCATATAACTGCTATACCAATTAGCTGTCCTGAGAGTGTTTTCTTACCTGTTTGAATGTAAGGAGGAAGTCAAAAAAGTTCTTATTTAAGCTTTCTTTGAGATGTGGAGCCACTTCCATTCCCACCTGCAGCCAAACAAAACGAGATTACCTTGACAAAGGAAAGTTGCAAATGATAACTACAGTGTGATGGCATTCTTATTCATCAAAAAATACATATATATACATATGTATAGAGAAAAAGTCCAAAGATAAACATTTATTCTTTTTGCTTATGTTTTCTTATTCAACAAACATCTATTGCTTTTATAAGAAAAACCACAGCCTGTAGTCCCAGCTACTTGGGAGGCAGAGGCAAGAGAATCGCCTAAGCTCAGGAGTTGGAGGTTGCTGTGAGCTGTGTGACGCCATGGCACTCTACCCAGGACGATAAACCCGAGGACGATAAAGTGAGACTCTGTCTCTACAAAAAAAGAAAAAGAAGAAAAACCACAGAAGCTATTTTTAATTAAAAAAAAAGAGGGGGGGGCCACATTTGCAGTAATCACCTTTGTCATTTCCCAAAGGTAACAAATGGATTTCAGAACAGATGACCAAGAGAACAAAATCAATATAGCCCTAAAAAGGAATGTACTCTCAAGATGACGTACAAAATCTTCTCTTCCTCTCAGAAAAAAATGATAAACACACATGTGGTTATACTTATTAGATGAAGCAAAAAGATCATGCTACGTAAGAGGGTCAGCGTGGATTTCAGATACTGTGCTGCCACTCCTGAATGTTAAGAGCAACACAGATCCATTCTTTGCTAGGCAGCCATGGAAACAAACCTAAGTTTTAATATGTTTTCAGCAATTGCATATAAGACAAATACAAAGCATAACAATACTATAATCCATTGGCTTCTGAGTTCCTTGTTTAAAGGAACATTTAAAATGTGTAACATTTCCAGCTGAAGAAATTTGTTAATCATAAAGAAAGAGCACAGGTTAGACTGAAAATTGAAGGTAGGAGGAAGGAGGGGAGTTCATATGTTTAAAACAAATACATTTAATTTATAATATTTCATAATATTCTTTATTCTGTTTCATAATATTCTTTATACTGAGTTCCTCAGAAACACCCCAATTCCAAATTGCTGCTTAACTACAAAAACAACTTCATAAAAGAAGATGGTTTCTAGAAACCCTTTGCTTCAAACAGGGACTGACTTCTCCCACTCCCCTCCCCACAAGTCAGGATGGTTAACAATAACAATAGGTTTTAGACAGCTGCAAATAATCCCTTTGGGAAGATTGATTCGAAAGCCACCACAGTGTTAGATTCTAGGAGCATCTCTGTGGTTGCTGGGTAAAGGAAGGGATGTTTCCAAGGACAAGCACATGGACTAAAAAAATAGTAACAACAAACATCAGATCTAGTCCTACTGTGTTCTGATTCTATTGTCTTTCCTTCCACTTAATCATATCGTAGAAAAGGCAATAATTATCTGTTAGGTGACAGCAAAGGCTGGCCTGGTGGGTAAGCTCTAGAGATGAGCTGAAGGGGTTAGTCATACTTTCCTATAATAAACAGTTTCAGCCCCCCTCCCCCCCACGCCAGACTCCATTCCCTGCTTTTGTTTATCTCCTCTCATCAAGCCAAATGAGCAGCTTGGAAATCTGCTCAGGTCTAAAAGATTTCAACTCAGAGCAACAAAGGTAGTTGCTTGAGATTTCCATCTGCTATTGCAGTCTGCCCAGCATTCATCCCCCTGCTGCTATTTGTGGTATCAGTAGAATGATTTATTTTGGGGAGAATCAAACCTTCCTCTCCAAACCATGAGATTTATGGTAGTGCCCGACTCACCACACTCTTGAGGTGAATCCAAGGGTGAATAAGTGAGCCAGGCCTGATCACTAAGCACATCCTGTCCTGTGGCCACAGTGACTAATGTGGAATTGGGCCGGTAACCATGGTGGCCCACTGAGAATCAGCCCTGAGACTCTGGTTAGATCTCTTGAGGTAAAGACACTTTTTCCAACAGGTTCCTACATTGGTAGGATAGAAGCCTGGAGTTAATACGAGCCACCATATGGAAAAGCAAGCCACAGAACGAAGCAGCTCAGAAGAAAGCACAGCTGAGTGACAGAGGGAGAGGTCGACTCTTGACAAGGGTCTCTGAGCCCTGTGTTTAACCACGATTGCACTACTTGGGTCTCTTTAGACACACAAACCAATAAATTCCTCTTTTTGCTTAAAGTAGAATCAACTGGATTTTTGCCACTTGCAACTGAAAAAATCCTTACTAATACGCAGGTTGTCTCTTATTCTATGTCAAAAGATTTTTAGTAACTACCCAACCGGGGAATCAAGGCATTGTCGGGACTAACAAGAATGAGCTCAATGGATGCAGGCATTCCACTATCAGTCTTTCTGGGATGGGTCTGATCTGTCCTCTGCCTGTTTTCCTCATTGTCACTATGTTTCCAAGTTGCATCTGCCATTCAAAGGCACTTCATATATAACAAATGTGATCTTTTCCCTTTTCATGTACCTTTACTTCAAACTTTAAAACTGAACAGGGTTGCAAGGAATGTGTTATGTCCTCCCTTTCTGCTTTCTCTTAAATAACCAGAATCATCTTATCACAGCAGAGATTCTAAGTTTTTTGTTTTTTTTTTGAGACGGAGCCTCAAGCTATCCCCCTGGGTGGAGTGCCATGGCATCACAGCTCACAGCAACCTCCAACTCCTGGGCTCAAGCGAGTCTCCTGCCTCAGCCTCCCAAGTAGCTGGGACTACAGGCGCCTGCCACAACGCCTGGCCATTTTTTGGTTGCAGCCATCATTGTTGTTTGGCGGGCCCGGGCTGACCCGCCACCTTAGGTGTATGTGGCCGGCGCCTTAGCCGCTTGAGCCATAGGCGCCGAGCCAATTCTAAGTTTTTATTACTCTATTATTCGATGGATGTCAGAGTGAGTTCAAAGAATTTGCCACGTCCTGTTGAGAGGCAGTAGAATGGAAATATGCAAAGATATCTTTGCATCTCTCCTATAGGACTCGGCAGGTTGTCTTGTGTACAGGAAGCCCTTGGCAAATGCTGATTTGGGAGGAGTATTCAAGCTTCAGTGTTCAAAAGTTAAAGGTCTTGGCTTGGCGCCTGTAGCTCAACCGGCTAAGGCGCCAGCCACGTACACCTAAGGTGGCGGGTTCGAATCCCCAGCCCGGACCCGCCAAACAACGACGGCTGCAACCAAAAAATAGCCGGGCATTGTGGCGGGCGCCTGTGGTCCCAGCTACTTGGGAGGCGGAGGCAGGAGACTCGCTTGAGCCCAGGAGTTGGAGGTTGCTGTGAGCTGTAAAGCCACGGCACTCTACCTAGGGGGACAGCTTGAGGCTCTGTCTCAAAAAAAAAAAAAAAAAAGTTAAAGGTCTTAGAAATATACCTGCTATTCCTGGATGAAAAGTGCCCCCCAAGTTTTATGCAGAGGGGGATGCACACTTTGGCTTCTGTTCCAAAGTGCGAGCAGGGTGCCCTTAAAACAAAGACTTTTTTTTTCATTTTCAGTATCAAGAAGATCTATAAAAAATGTCCTTCAGAATGGATATCTACTATTTACCAAGGGCAGTGACTGAGTTTTTTTGTGACACTTGAGACCACAGGGCTTCTTGTCATTTGCTAGATGTCATGTAGAAGAAGCAAATCAAAGGCTACATGTTCTTGCCTTCTGATTTCATAACTTGCAGAGTGGCTCATGAGGGACTTTCTAACTGCAGCTTTGTCCTCAAGGATGCCTGGGGTTCATGGGGACAACAAGCTCTCTCTGTTAGGCACAAGGATGGAAGAATCCCACTGCTCCGGAAGTCCTCACAAGGACACAGCACTACGTGGGTTGGAGGAAAGAGACTGTATCTGTTTCAAGGGTGGTATTTTTTGTAAATGAAAAAACATACTAGTTTTAAGTAGAAGCCTCATGGGTGCTTTAAGGGTGAGAAAGGACAGGCGGTTGATTATCAGCACTCCCCAGCCCCCACCCATCAGAGCAGCTGCCTACAGCAGGCCTGGAGCCCTCTGAGGCCTGAGACCTGCTGTCCCACGGGGCACTGCTCCCCTGCCCAACAGCCTTGCCAACTTGCACTCTGAGCCAACTCTTTAACAAGAGGACAAAAGAACTAATAAAGCAATCAAATTCAAGACACAGGGAGAGCATATTTCAAGTCAATGAAAAGCAACCTGTTGTCTGACTGGCTTTGGGAGGCTCCTTCTCAGCAAAAACTGAGAAACAATTAATTCTGAAAACCAGTTCATTTCTAAGAGGATGACCTTAAATCCTTTCTAATTAAAGTTATGGGAAGTTGTTCTACTTTAAAATTAATTTTTAAAAGAAATCCTACAGCTCTATTTTCTGTGGAAGAGCCATGTTCTAAAATTAGCAGCTAATAAAGTCCTTCTCTCAATGACTTGTGGGGGCAGGGGAAGGAGAAGCCCACATGGACAGTTAAGGACACAGGCAGCAGCCAACTTGCGAAGGCAGCGTCTGGCAAGGCCTACCCGGCACAGGTAGGCTCGGGCATACACTGACACCAGCGGGTCTCCAATCCCTCTGATCATGCACGTTAATCGAGGTAGGCACTCGGAAATTCCCCTGTGAGAGACAAAAAGAGGACAGCATTACACCCAATGTGAGAACTCTCTGTTCTTTTATTTTTTGAAAAAAAAAAAAGCTAAAACTTTCTAAATTTCAGGGGGTGGATCAAGTTTCAGGAACACACCAAGGTCAAAATTTCAGAGTTTTCTAAGGCAATGTAACAAACAGTGCTTCTCTCTTGATACAATTCATTCATTGAGTGATTCTTTTCATCTTTATCATTTGCTCAGTGCTGGAGGCTAACCACATTATTTTCTGCTGGAGATCACATTTATTTCACTAATTTTAACAGCTTTTGTCTCCAATGATTTTCCATCAACTGGTCACTCCCTGATCTGTTCTCCCCATTTATATTCCTTGAGCACTAATTTACTGTGCTCTACCCCATTCATTCCTAGCACCTGAGACTGAAGCAGACATCCTCCCACCCCTTCAGTGTGATTTACGATTTACTTCTCCTACAACATAGGACTTCTCTGTTCCTAGGGCATTATGCTCCCCAAACTGTTGAGGCAAAATAACTGTTTCTTCAGTACCTGTTATCCCCCCCAAACTGTACCAGGTATTCCTAGATCCCAATCAGATACATCTGGGATAAATTATAAATCCATTCAAAGAGGTTATCAATGGAGCACCATTGAGTTAGTCCCTGGCTTCAAAAATTTATTACCTAGCTATCCAGTATGACTCAGCGTTTCCCCAGCTCTGCAGAAAACAGATCTGGATTTCCCAAGCTCTATAAACTATTCTTAAAAAGATGTCTGTGATGTAGCCAAGCCCAGTGACATGTGCTTGCAGTGTCCGTTACTCAGGAGGCTGAGGTGGGAGGATCATTCGAGCTTAGGAGTTCCAGACCAGCCTAGACTCCATCTACAAGAAACCCAAAAACCAAAAAACACAAAACCTAAGCCCTAAGGGCACACGTTTCTGCTTCTAACATCAGCGTTTTCATCAATAACAGCAGCAGCAATACTGAGTTGGGCCCACTGCACACCGGGTAAGACTCAGTTTTGCACATGCAGCTCAAGAGGACCCTCACAGACCTCTTCTTAGGGCTGTGTTCAAAGGAGAAAAAGACTGGGGCTCAGGAACGCGGAATAACTTGCTCAGGACCACAAAGCTAGTCACAGCACAGCCCGGATTCAAATCTTCCACAAGCTACTCGACCAGCCTCTCCTAGCTTGAGTTTTCCTCTTTGTCACATGGGGATTAAGATGGTATCTCCATTAAGTTTTCATCTGAGTAGCACTCATTAAGTCCTCAGTGAATAATAGCTACGAGTACCCTGCCGTTAATGTGTGTGCCATGTACGTATATGTGTTTGATATTTAGAAATGCTATAACTCTAGGCATTAGAAAAGAGCCTTACGTTTTAGAGAGGAACTTGTTACACTTCAGGATGGATGCTTCCACATAACTACAAACACATTCTGTTAAGGAAGACATTTTCCAGACAGCCTTTTTTGCTATAGGGAAAAAACTATAAACTATTCATGAACAAAAGTAAGCAGGTCTCAGATGGGGGCCACAATGACCCTAAACAATCCAAAAATTGAAGTAAGCTTGTGGCTTGTGGTTTCTTGACGTGGTTTTCAAGGTTTCATACTCATTTAAAATAAACTATGGAAAATGTTACATGTCGACTCATGGTTGCATGCTGAAATTTAAACTGGGTTTTGAACATTTCCAATCAAGGCTTTCTGGGGGAAAGAATGAGCTTTCGTTAACTAAGATACAATTTGTGTACAATGTTGAATTTCTGGTTCACAAATATTGGCATTTGTGCAGAAGAGCTTGACCTGTTCTTTCAAGTTCTTGGAACCAGAGAAAACACAAAGACGAAGCATTTCAATTGAGAGAATTAATGTGGGAATGTTCCTCAAGGAAACAAAAGTCTGGTACATGGCATCATATTCAAAGTAAAAAACAAAAAACTGTTTGGAGACAGCGAGAGTCCAAGGGCTTCTACAGCGTGGCGTGCCTGTATTTTTAGGCTAGCAACCGTAACGAGACCAGATTTTCAACAGGAATTTCAGGGCATCCCATCACATGGCTTCTATTATCTTTAAAATCATCAGACAAAAAAAGGATACAATCTTGGAATGAGTTCCCTGATGGAAGCAATCTTGAAAAACCAATTTAGGCATGTTTCCTTGGCCGTGTCATTTGTATTCTCTGGAGAAAAGTGATCTGTAACACAAAAACAATAACCATCAGCCCTCCTAAATGCTACAAGTCCTGGAATAGGAACAAGTTACTATGGAGCAGAAGAGGGGGCAGGGTATTCAGTCCCTTGGTGCCCTACCTTCCAAGTATCATTATCATTATTAGGAAGCAACAGATAACAAGAGTTTGCCCACACTCGGGTTTTCTAGGCGCCAGGTGCTGTTCAGAGTGCTTTACAGATGTTAGCTCACCTAATCCCTGTAACAGCCCTGTGAGGCATATACGTTTATTAACCTCCTTTACGGATGCACAGTAGAGGCACAGAGATTAGAAACTTGCCAAGGGCCCACAGAAAGCAAATGTAAGAGCTGGAATTCAACCAGACAGTCTGGCCTCCTTGACTATTTTCTTAATCACTGCTTCTAAAATAATTCAGAGGCTCTTGGTTACCTACCAGTGACTAAGACAATATTGTTCAGAATTCTAGATGCTTTAGGGAACCACAACTACAACATGAAATGTGACTAAGCTTTTGTTCTGTGCATCATGTGAACCAATGCTTTACTTTTTACTGAAGGTAAAGCAAGACCCTGAGGTGAGAAACCAGCCAGAGTTAGGCTGCCAGCTCCAGCTCAAGATGGCTCACAGGCCCATGTCACCATGCGGTGAAACTGCCAGTTAATCCCGTATCTCTTCTCTTCCTCTTTAACAATAGAGCTTTTATTTTTCTGCTGGGCAAATAGCCATCCTTGCAACTAGGTGTGGTCATATGCACATGTGAGTTCTGCACCAAGGATATATAAACAGAAGCGCAACTTCTGGGCTTGCCCTCTCTTACTCCTTCTTCCTATGTGCTGATTGGAATGCAGATACACTAGCTGGAACCTCTGCAGTCATTTTGAATCATGAGAACAAGACAGAAGTCAGGATCCCTGGCACCAGAGGCTAGCTGCCCCAATAGCCCTGAACTTCATTATTATTTTAAGTTTTCTGGTACAGGCACCCAAGCCTAATCTTGATACATTTTTTTTTTTTAATTTAAAAAAATAACAGAAATGTATTTCTCATATCTAGACTTGACATATATCTTAAGGAATGGAAGAGAACATGAAAAATGAAGAAATAACCAAATCCATCAATATGAAAAAGGCTATTGTTAAACTCTTACATAGAAATGATTTCTTCTAAATGATTTCAGCAAAGATTAGAGCTCCATCCCATCACTGAACATGTTTTATACTTTAAGGATTCAACCAAAAAGAGAAAAGTTAATTAGAATATAGCTCTCATTTTCTTTTACAGTGAGTAGCTCTAATTTGACAACTTGGAATATGATTAAAGTTATCAAAATTTCTGTGAAATCAGAGCTGAGAATAGTAGCTTATGCCTGTGATTCTAGCACTCTAGAATGCCAAGGCAGAAGGATGACTTGAGATCAACAATTCAAGACCAGCCTGAGCAAGAAGGAAACCCCTGTCTCTACTAAAAATAGAAAATTAGCCAGGCATTGTGGTGTATATGCCTGTAATCCCAGTTACTTGGGAAGCTGAAGTAGAAACATGGCTTGAGTCTCAATGAGTCTGAGGCTGCAGTGAGCTATGATGACACCTCTGCATTCTAAACAGGGCAACAGAGCATGACTCAGTCTCAAGAAACAAAACAAAATAAATTTCTATGAAATCAGCAAAAAAGATAAGCCTCTAGGTACTTCTCTACTAAAGAACAGTCACTAATCACAACTATAGATATTGTGAAACAGCAATCTCAAGTATTTACTATCTCTGGATATCTGGTATGCTTTATTCATTTGAGAATTCGCTGTTTTCAAAAGGATGGGAAATGACCATTTTCCCCTTCCTTGTCTGAATCCGTACACATAAACTAAGTTTTCTTCTACTTTCAAGAGACCCAGTCAGGCAAAGATAAGGGATATTCTTTTCTTTTTTTTTTTTTTTGGAGACATAGTTTCACTATGTCACCCTCAGTAGAGTGCCACGGCATCATAGCTCACAGCAACCTCAGACTCTTGGGCTCAAGCGATTCTCTTGCCTTAGCCTCCTAAGTAGCTGGGACTATAGGTACCTGCCACAATACCTGG